CCAGCCAGCGCTGGCACTAGAACACAGGACCCTTTCCACACAACTGCGCTGCCATCGGGCCCACGAGCCTGACGAAGCACAAGCTCGGTCATATTTAACTCGCAACGCTTCGCACGCGCTGCTCCTCAACCCGCTGCCGAAATTCCGGCTCCAGATACCCCGGGATGAAACACATCCAAATCCTTTCACCAGGACCAACAGACCCCAAAGAGCCCTGATGGTTACAAATCGGACACCATGAGGAAAGAGGATTTTTCTCCTTTTTTCCCCTCGTGATTATCGGGTCCCAATGCTGGCCGTGTCTCGGCGAGGCGAGGCGCAGCATCTCGCCCCGGTGCCTATATATGGCCACCCCGATGGGTGTCGAGAATCACTGCATTGGGATGGGGTAGGACCTGCCAAGTTCCTTGTGTTCAAGTGGACACATCAGAATCACCCAGAAGTTTGAAAATCCACCTTTTTTTCCAAAAACTGTACCCATTTACGCAGCCCCCCCCCACGCCAGTTTGTTACTGGAGGGCAGCTGGTGGCTGCTGAAGCAGCAGCGGCGGCGATTTCTCCGCCCCATCCACCCACCTAAGGGAAAAAATGCGCTGAAATATTTGCCTCGATAGGAAACGAAACATAAAAATGTACTTGACATGCAAATTATATAAAGAAAAAACTGATGTGAGGACCTGCAAAAGGCTGAAGCAGAAGCAGGCTGTCTGCGAGCAGCGCTGGGAGCACATGGAGCACCGAGCCCGTGCCAAGAGCCATTTATCTTCATTTGAAGGGGCGGTGAGCTTAGGAGGGTCTCCGGCACTGCACTGAACAAGCGGCCCAAGTCCTGCGAGCAGCTTCAAGCGCCTGTCCTGCCTCTGTCCCCATGGGTTTCAGCCCTCCGAGACCCCTCCGGCAGGGGAAGGGAGCCCGGCGAGCTCCCTCCATCCACCCGCGGCTCCGCGCGGCACAGGCTGTCCCCGCAGGATGATTTTTATTACCTCCGTCCCCATTTAGGAGCCATCACATGACAAAAAGGAGCGCAACGCCGCCCAGCTGAGCTCGCCCCGGGACTGCTTCTCCCTGCCCGGGATCGTGTCACGTTAACAAGTTTTCCCATAACGGCAGCATTTGTGGGTACAAACGCTGTAGGATTTCATGTATATATTTATTTCTTTTTTTAATTTTCTGTTCTGCCTCCAAACATTTGCTTAAAAACAAGTTGAACTTAAAAAAAAAATAGAAAAATATCGCTAATGAATCACAGTTCCTAGCAAATGAGCAATTGCAGTTGACACAATGAATTATGCCTGAAGCAAGCTGGGAAGCATATTTTGCAAATGATCTCATCCACAGGCAAACCTGGCATGACACTTGATTTGCTAAAAAAGACACAAAGGCTGTCAAAATTCCTGTCACTTCGCAAATAAAGTCAGGTAGAGAAAACCAACAGCCTCACCCTCTTCAGCATGCTTAACCTATTTCTCAAGTTCTGCACTGGCTCGGTTCAGAGGAGCCCTGCGCCACACACGCCCTGTAGGTGTTTCCATCCAAACTTGTTTGAGCCCGGTGAGAGCAGGAGGCCACCGGCCCTGCCTCGACCTCCCGAGGCGCTGCAGACCCCGAGGGATGCTCGGGTGGCAAAAAGCCCCCAGGCTCAAACCCTAAGTTTGAGGGGCTAAGTGCAGCACGGTGCGGAGCTCTCCAGCCGTTCGGTACGCTGGGGAACTTCCATTTCAGTTTATTTTCCTGATAAAATCTTATTTTATTCTATTTTTACATTTCAGCAGAATGCTTGCATTTTATTTCTTTCATTTCATCCGACTAGACTCAAAGAAATGTGAAATAAAATTAAAAAAGAAAAGAAAAAGCAATTAAAGTGCTGCCCTTCCTTTCAGTTCTGCCCCGTGCTCTTCAGCATCACCGGGGCTCCCCGGGACCCACTCCTTTCCGCCCAGCCCAGGCTGTTTGCCCCTCTGCAGGTCCCACTAAAAACCCGCCTGGCTCATAAAACCTGGGAAAAATTCAAACCTAAGGCTGAAGCCTCATTCTAACCCCATTTTGTCAGGCCTGGGTATTTTTAAACACAGGCATTGTACAGAGCAAACCAGCAGCGCAGTCACATCACCGTTTTGCAGGGTTGTTTTGCTGTGTTTATCCACAAGCCAATGGGTCCGCACAATCCTTTACAGCACGCCCGCCTATCGCATCCGAGAGCCATGGACCAATTTAAGTGCTATTATGTCAATAAAGCCAGCTTTCAAATAAAGCACATATCTGCAGAGGTACGCAGCCCAGCTCCAGCCCTCCAGAAGGCCTGGCAGGGAAATCTGACTTTATAATAAGACGGGCTAAAATAAATATTTCCATTCCAGCGCGAGATGGTTTGCATCCCGCCTCGGATAAGCGCACACAAGTCCAGAGGTTTCTCTGAAGCAGACCCAAACCCCTCCCGGACTGCTCTTGCAGGGGTTTTTGGCCCTTCCCCGTGCACCCACCAGCAGAGCTGATAACCATGAGCCATGTGGCTCAGCACCACAGCTCCAGGTCTTGGCCAGGACCCAGTCCTGACCTGACCCCCCCGAGCTTTGCAGAAGGGCTTGGGCAGGGCGAGAGGATTTCTATTCTCTGGAATCGTTTAAGCAGCTGCTGTTGGAGTTCCCCCGACAAAGGATCTTATTTACCCGTGCCCATCTCCTAGTGACGGGCACGGAGGTTGAGAAAAGAAGGAGGAGCCCTGAGCAAGCCAAACCTGAAAAAAAAACAGCGAGGGCAACTCGGGGATGGGGAGATCACCCCACGGCCACCCCCAGGCGGTGCACGGGGCCCTTTGCCCATGCAGGAGCCTGGACACAAAGCTCCCCACTCCCGGAGCACCAGAACCCACCCGGTGCCAGTGCCAAAGCCCAGCAGAACCAGGTGGGCGCTCCCAGGCAGGCTCGATTCTGGCAGCTGTGAAAGTTTGGTGTAAAAGAGAGCGTGAACACCTGGGTTTGGTATCACAGGTGTCCTTGGGGAAGCCCTGCAAGTGCCCAGCCTCTCCCAAAGACAACTGAGATGCCTTTTGCCACAGCGGGCCCCGTACAGCTACACGGAGACCTCCTGTTTATGCACTCACTGCAAGCTGATTTCTCTCCAACTATTTGAATTATTTAGCAAGCGTTGGAAGTTTTCTCCCAGAAATTCGAAGTTTGAGAAATCCCTCCCTAGCCTCTAATGTTCAAACATCTCAACTTTGCTCCCAGAAGCCTTCATTATAAGACCTCTACAGGAGAATAAAAGAACCTGCGGTAGTCACAGCTGCCTTCGGTGCAGCACGGAAGGACATTCGTTCTCAGAGGGAGGAGGTCAGGATCCCTAATTATTTTAGGTTTGCTGCTTACTTCGGATCAGACTGTTATTACCTCGATTATCCACACCTTGAGGTCATGCACCGACTGTCCCAGGCAAGGCAAGCGACATCAATTCAACTAATAAGCAAACGTTTGGCTTTATCCTTTCTAGCTGAAGGCTTTATGGAACGGGGAGCTTCCAGAGCCGCGTGTCCGGGGCGATTCCTGCGGGAAGCCCCCTACGACACGACCCCATCCTCTGGGGCAAGGAGGGGGCAGCGATGCCTCCGCTTTGCTTACCGCCCGCGCCTTCTACTACTGTTTAATATTTCAGCTGGAGGAGGCGAAGCAGCGTGCCAGAGCCTCAATTACGCGGGACACGAGGCGAAGGCTTGGCAGGCGCCGAGCACATCAGGGGGGCTGCCCGCAGCCTCCCCAAAGCCCCCCCGGCAGGAGCAGGAAGGCAGCGCTGAGCCTCAGCCCCCAGCCCCCTGCCCAACCGAGCCTCCGCACCCGGACAGCCGGGGCAGGTGCATCGCATCCAGCTTTTGGGGCACGGAGTCCCCCCCCGGAAGCCCCCCACAAGCTGCAGCCCCATGGGGGCTCTGGGCAAGCCCCAGCCCCGCCGTGTCCCCCCCCCCCCTCTCCCGGTGCTTTCCCACGTTGGCCCGGCTGGGCTCGCTTGTTCCCCGCCGTCCTTTTGCTTTTGTTTTCCTGCTCCTCCGCAGCGCCCCCCCCCTCTTTTTTCCCCCCCTTCTCCCCCCCCTGTGCCCGCAGCCCCCCGGCTGCCAACCACCAAGGCGCCCCCCCCCCCCAGGCACCTCCCTGCAGCCCACGGAGTGGGACACGCGTGGGGACCCCCCCCACACCCCAATAACCCCATAACCCCTATAATCCCTATACCCCCCCTCCACCCTCTGGTACACCACATCCCCAGTGGGGGGGGGGGTCCCCAAGGGGTGCACCCCCCCGCAGGACGGGGACACGGAACGGGACACGCGTGGGGACCCCCAACACACCCTATAACCCCCCTACCCCCTATAACCCCCCCCTAAGTCCCCAAACCCCTCCGGTATACCGCATCCCCGGGTGGGGTGGGGGTGTCCTTAGGGGTGCGTCCCCTCGCAGGACAAGGACACGGAGCAGGACACGCGTGGGGACCCCCCCACACACCCCCCTATAACCCCATACCCCCTTATAACCCCCATAACCCCCCCTAACCTCCCATACACCGCATCCCCCGTGGGAGGGGGGGGTCCCTAGGGGGTGCACCCCCCGTGAGGACAAGGACACGAAGCAGAACACGCGTGGGCACCCCCCACCCCCCTATAACCCCATACCCCTTATAACACCCCATAACCCTCCCCACACCCTGTACACCATATCCCAGCGGGGGGGGGGGGGTCCCTAGGGGGTGCACCCCCCCTGAGGACAAGGACACGAAGCAGGACACGCGTGGGCACCCCATAAACCCCCCCATAACCCCCCTTAACCCCCCCGCACCCCTCATCCCCACGAGGACCGGGGTGCGTGTGGAGGAGGAGGAGAGGAGGAGGAGGGGGGGGGGGTCCCAAAAACCAGCGCCCCACAACAGGACGGCGCCGCGCCGCGCCCCCCAACCCCGCTAGGAGGAGGGAGAGGAAGAAGGAGGAGGAGGAGGAAGGCTGCCGGGGGGGGGGGGCTCACCTGAGGGGTGCCGGCCCCATGGACGCGCGGCGCGGCGCTGCCCGGGGCCTAGCGGCGGCAGGAAGTGATTCCAGCCGCTCCTCGCCCCGGCCGGCTCCGGCCTCGCCCAGCGCCGCCGGGCGCCGCGCACAGGCGGCCCCCGCCGGGGGAGGGGACGGGGGAGGACCCGGGGGGGGTGAAGGAGGGGTTAAGGGGGGGTTAATGAAGGGGTACCCGGCCCCCCCGTGGCGGTTTGTGGGGTGCCGGGGGGGCGCGGGACTGGGATATGGAGGGGGGGTGGAGAGGGGGGGGCGCGCACGCCGTGGATCTGGGGGGGGTCCTGGGTGGTTGCCCCGAGGGAAGGTCCCGGTTTTGGGGAGGGAAAGGGGAAAGAGTGGAGGGAGGGGGGGGGTTTGGGGACACTACGCTGAGGTGGTGGGGCTGGGTGGAGGGGTTGGGTGGGAGGCTGGTGGTGTGGGATAAATGGGGGTGGAAGTGGGAAAGGTGCTGTATGGCACGGCACGGCATGGCACGGCATGGGACAGCATGGCATGGCACGGCACAGCATGGCATGGCATGGCACGGCACAGTACAGCACCGAACTGCATTGAACTGCACTGCACAGCACGGCACGGCACTGCATTGCATTGCACAGCACAGCACTGCACAGCATGGCACGGCACAGGACTGCATAGCCCAGCATGGCACAGCACAGTACAGCTCTGCTCTGCATTGCACAGCACAGAACAGCACTGCACGGCACTGCACAGCACTGCATGGCATGGTACAGTGCTGCACTGCATGGCACAGCACAGCCTGGCACAGCATGGCACAGCATGGCACAGCACGGCACAGCACAGCCCACCTGCCTGCAGTGCTCACAGCACCATTTCCTTCCCTTGTGTGACAAAATGGGCTGCAGTGCAGGGGGCTCTCGCTGCTCTGCCTCCTCACCTGTGCCCATCGCTCACCTGAGATTTGTGGTTTTGGGATCGGGGAGCAGGGACCAGGCAGGAGCTTGTGAGCCCCCCCCCCAGCGCCGCATGGCCCAGCTCCATGGTGGGGATGCTCCAGCGCTGTCCCCTCGGCGAGGAAATCCTGCAGGACTCGCTTGGAGGTCGCGCTGAAGGACAGGACGGTGTGACCTGCACGTGTCCCCATGGCACAGCCCTGAACTACCCGCTGTCTGCAGCAATCCCGTTCGCTGCCACTGCCAAAGCCAGCGCGGTGGTTTCCCAGCACCTTATCTGGTTTGTTTTTGTCATTAAGTCGGTTCTTGCCACCTACGACTTCCCACTTTCGTTGGCTCCTACCTGTGCTATCACAGTCGGTCCTGGGCACGTTCCCCAGCCTGGGCCCTGCTCCTTTGAACACTTGTGCAAACAGTCCCACGGAGGGGGCGCGACCCACTGGGGGGCTCCCACAGGCGGGGGGCACTGGCAGGACCCTGGCATCCCAAGGGACGGGGCTTGGAGGGAGCACATGCAGCACCTGCTCTCCTTGGGGAAGGGGCGAGCGAGCTGTGGTGCTGGTACGAAGCACGGATGCTGCCTCCCCATAAATCACGAGGGAATTTGTTTTTGACAAAGTCCCTCAACGTCGGCAGTAAGCTGACACCTGCGCTGACCTCTAACTGCAGTCGCAGGCTAGAGCCCGGCCGGCCCCGTGTGCACGGCCTCAGCTCTGCCGGCTGCCTCCAGCTCTGCCCCGTTCCTCCACGCCTGTCTCCCTGCCATTTCCCTGCCACGGAAAGCCTTTGAAGCATCACAAAGAAAAGCTGGAATTATCCGAAGGAGCACTGCTCGGGACTTGGGAACACGAGGAAATTTTCATTCCAAATTTCACTCTACAGCCTAAAAAGTCTCGTTTTGTTTTCTTGTTTCTCTAAGCCCTAAGTATTAAAATCAGTGAACCTATTTGCATGATTAAAGTGAGCAGTGTTAGCCCTATGCCTTCGAAATAAATTTCAAAGGAATAACAAAAACCTCTTTAAAGTATGAGCCTCTTTCTGTCTGCTTTGCATATAAGATTGTGTCAGAACTTCTTTGAATCTGGAAGTTTCTTTTCTCTCACACATTTATCATTTTGAGGCTGCCTTAAAATCTGCAAAGAAATATCCCCATATTTTAAAAATCAACATCAGATCCTTAGAGCTGCTCAAGGCTGAGGAATTTCATTAGCACTCGACACTTTAAAAAACAGTGTCAGGTCAGGACAAACACATTTTCTTTGCTGCGCAAGATAAAATTGTTTTTTTAGAAATGATGCATGAGAAATATGTCCCCATACCGCACTCGGAGATAAAGCAATCATAGTCCCCTTAAACGTGACATTCCCTGTTCCTCTTCCCTGTGCTTCACTGAGGGATCTCACCGCGATGCTCCAGGTCTGTCCGCACCCACCTGGGCGCCCGCTCGCTGGCTCACGGGGGGCAAACGGGGCGAGCAGCCCACCCCGGGGGCACGGAGCAGCCGGGGGGGCTGGGGGCATCCTGCCCTTCCCCGGGTGCTTACATAGGACAGAAAATGCGGCTTGCCAAGGGCCTTTCCTCAGCTTCGGAGGAGAGCAGAAAGCCTGCTAATGCGCCAGCCCGGAGACCGCCGCTGCTCCCTTCAGCCATGGGCATTTTAAAAATGTTCTGTGATGGAGAAAGAAACATTTCTTAAGTACCATTTGATGTCTCCGAATGGCTCCAGGGCTAGAGAAAACATGTTTATTTACTACTGTGCTGAATTTAATGCAAAAGATTGGTTCAGAGACTAGAGGAAACAAAATAGGCAACATTTTCCGTAATGTCTGCAAAGTGTTCTTGGGATGATGAAAATATTTTCTTTCTTTCTCTCTCTTCCCTGCATTTTTTTTTAATCAAGCATTTCAAATTGAAGAACGGCTTGAGGGCTGAAGAAATCACTTGATAAAACACCCAACATTTACATTCTTGCAGGAGACAAGCTAACGTTTTATTTTTTTTTTTTTTTCCATCCAAACAGTAGTTAGTGCAGCAGTGGAAATAAAACTGCAGCACGGCACATCTGCGTTAACCCTTCCTGGCTGCAGCTCTCACGTTAAACATTAGCCACCCACTGCAAAGCTTTAGAGATGCTGTTCCCTCTCCAAATCCCAGGCTGTAAGGACTCTGAGGATGGTTGAGATACCCTTTATGGTGCTTCCCAGCTTGATTTCTAAACACCTGCGTGAGGGAGCTGGGCTGCCTGGATGCCTCACCTGGAGCTGCCAGGGAGCCTGTGGCAAAATCGTGTTGCACCACGACTCTGAACAAAGCCAGGGAAAACCAACTCGTTTTGTAGAGATGTGGCTTTCAAGTAAACTCCATAATGAGCAAGACCCACAAGATCTTTCCAATCCTCACACCTTCAGAGGGCTGAGAAAACAGATCCGTGGCCGTAACAGGACTGCATTCTTGTAGCTGGGACACAAGTTTGCTTTGTGGGTAGAAAAAGCATTATCTACTTAGTCTAATACATGCAACCAGTGTTTGTCTTGCACTGTGAACTACAAGGCAATCTGGAAAGGAGAGAAAATTACTTGCTACCAGAAACCTTTCTTTTGATGGTACATTTAGCTAACACTTCAGCGTAATTGGTATTCGTACGAGAGGAGAGGACACAGCAGCTGTATGACAGCCGTGCAAAGTTCAGGGGGATTAACACACCATCATGGATAGCAGTAAACGGCAAAGCAAAATGTATCCGAAAGCCTCGTTTACATATTTTATTTGTTTATGGCAGAGGGATTTGCCTGTTTCTCTCCCAAACAACCTCAGCCAGGTGATGAGTGCTGGGTGTCCTGCAAGAGCAGGGACAGCCTTACATGTCCCTGTGCAGAATCTGGCCAGCTGAAGGGAGCCAAGAGTGTGCTCCCAGGGGGTTTGCTGTGGGAGGACACACGGGTCCTGGCCATGGGGAGCCGTGCAGACACTCAGTGACACCCCACTCAGCCATGAAGCTCGAAATGGGCCTGCAGTTAGGCACCATGCCCATGTCTCCTTTCAGACCTGGAGATAAAGAGGTTAAATGGCAACTGGGGACCATCACAGGAATTCACCCAGCCGCTCTGCAGCCTTAGTCTTCTGCTCTTTTGCTCCTTGAGCACTCCGTGGTGTCTTCATTTCGCTTCCCCCCCTTGGAGCTAGGCCCCGCTCCAAAGGGCAGCACGGCCTGGTGCCTCCCGCAGCTCCCGGGCAGGGCCTCCTCCTGCATCGCCCCTCACACAGAGTTTCACAAGTCGCTTGTGGAACAAGGCAGTGCCCGGCGAGAATTGGGCTGTAACAGTTGTGGGTTTTTAGAAATAAAGCTCTTTCCGTGGAGCAGCGAGGCAAGGAGCAGGCATCTCAGCGATAGGCAGCACGGCGTGAGTGGCGGGTGTTTGGCCTACAGCCAGGCTTATTGTTTTCCATTAAAATGGTTAGGAATAAGTTAAAATAAACAGAATTTGGGAGTGCCTCCAAGGGGTCTGCATTGTCCTGACTAAGCCGGTACAAGGTCGTGTGTAAAAAGGCTTTACTTATTTGTACATGCAGAAAGCCTTGAGCTCCTGTCATGAGAAGTGCTCCAGAAGTGCCTGGCATTGCTTCTTTCCTTTCTGGGCCTCCCAAGAGACAAGGGTATGACAATAACAAAAATAATGTATCATTGGCCTTTTAAATAGCCGTTCATTACGTAATGGTACAGTGACTGTGAAACAGGAGGAGAGAAAACCCGGTCCCAGGAGGCATTTTCACTTTGGCTGCATTAATTCACACACCAGGGGCTGAATGCCTCGGTTTGCTGAATTTCCTGGGCTCCGATGCTGGAAGGAAGCACCGCGGCTCCTGACCTCCCTGTACGCAGGCTGCAGGCTCGTCTCCCAGGAGCAGCATTAAAATAAAATTTTCAGGAAAAAACATCTACTTTCATCTTGAGAATGCAAAGTGTTTGTGGATAGATACCTCTTCTTGTAAATGATCCTGATGGTTAATTGCCTTTACTGCTCAGAAATTTTATTTAATTTGACTTGGCACAATTCACGAGATTAAAATACCTTTGCTTTCAGATGCTTCTTCCACGCCCAGGGACCCAGCTGCTCAACTTTCTCTTCAGTTAAATGAAAGAACTCAGCTCGCCAGCTTGTTTCCCA